GCACAACGAGCGCAAGCCCAGCCCGCCGCCCGGGCTGCTGACCTGGTGAGCCGGGGACGCCCCTGGGCAGGCCTGGGGCAGGGATGTGGGGGGAGGTGGCCGGGTTCTGACCCTCGGGCACCTGCCCCAACCCCTGCCCCTGCACAGGCTCATGTCCATCGATGTCAAGTACCAGATCTGGAAGTTCGGGGTGATCTTCACAGACAACGTGAGGAGCGGAGGGACTGGGCAGGGGAGGGCTGTTAGGGGGTTGGGGGCGCCACCCTCAGTGTCCCTGGCCAGACAGTGACTCCCGAGCCCCTGTGTAGCTCTGACGCCCAGGCTCCCTGTCCCCCAGCACATCCTTTGCCCCCCGAGTGCTGGTGGATTCCCAGATGACTTCCTTCTGCAGGGCTTCCCCACCTGCCCAGGGTGCCCGGGACCGAGAGTGCTCCTCACTCCCGGTGCTCCCGTCTTCCCCGTGCTCCCTGATCAGAGGTGGCGCCCCACACCCGGAGCACGGCCCCCGCATGCACCCTGACTGCCGGCCTCTGTGTCCACAGTCTTTCCTGTACCTGGGCTGGTACATGGTGATGTCCCTCTTGGGCCACTACAACAACTTCTTCTTCGCTGCCCACCTCCTGGACATCGCCATGGGGGTCAAGACGCTGCGCACCATCCTGTCCTCCGTCACCCACAATGGGAAACAGGTGTGGAGAGGACCCGGCGGAGGGGTGTGGGCTGGGCAGGGACGGGCATGGCCGTGTGGGCAGGGGTGGAGGGGTCTGGGCCGGCAGCCGGGCCAGGGAGGGGCAAGGCTGGGCGGGCTGAGCTGGGCAAGTGTGGGCAGTGAGCCCCAGGGGCTGAGGGCCACACAGGCTGAGCCAGGGTAAGGACCCGGAATGGGCGTGGGGGAGGGACAATCCGAGGGTGGCGCTGACCTGTCCCGTCCGTGCCTGCCCCCAGCTGGTGATGACCGTGGGCCTCCTGGCGGTGGTGGTGTACCTGTACACCGTGGTGGCCTTCAACTTCTTCCGCAAGTTCTACAACAAGAGCGAGGACGAGGACGAGCCCGACATGAAGTGCGACGACATGATGACGGTGAGTGCTGAGTGGCAGGTGACGCCACGTTTTCCCGTCTGTGAAGAGGTTAGTAAAAGCGCCTGTCTCGCGGGCCTGTGAGCTGACCCATGTAGGTACTTTCAACGCTGCCAGGCACATGATAAGTTGCTCCTTAAACGTTAGCCATTGTTTCTTTCTTTTTTCTTTTTTTTTGAGACAGAGTCTCGCTTTGTTGCCCAGCCTAGAGTGAGTGCTGTGGCATCAGCCTAGCTCACAGCAACCTCAACCTCCTGGGCTCAAGCAATCCTCCTGCCTCAGCCTCCCCAGTAGCTGGGACTACAGGCATGCGCCACCATGCCCGGCTAATTTTTTGTATATATATTTTTCAGTTGGTCAATTAGTTTCTTTCTTTTTTTTTTCTTTTTTTTTTTTTTTTTAATTTTAAAGAGATTTATTCTGAGCCAAATTTGAGGACCATGACCTGGAGCCACTCAGTTTCTTTCTATTTTTAGTAGAGACGGGGTCTCGCTCAGGCTGGTTTCATACTCCTGACCTTGAGCGATCGTCCCACCTCGGCCTCCCAGTGTGCTAGGATTACAGGCGTGAGCCACCGCGCCCGGCCTAGCCATTGTTTCAATGTTACTTGAGGTTTTAACATGGAAAAGTGCTCAGGCAAAGTACCCTGGCCTCTTAAGAGCCATGTCACTTGGGGCAGGCTCCTTACTCTCCTCCCTATGCCCTGAAAAATGGGTGTATAATAATAGCACCGACTCCTAAACAGTGCTCCCCGGTCGCTCACACTTAAAAGACTTAGCATAGGCCGAGGCAGGAGGATTGCTCAAGGTCAGGAGTTCGAAACCAGCCTGAGTGAGACCCCATCTCTACCAAAAATAGAAAGAAATTAATTGACCAACTAAAAATACATATACAAAAAATTAGCCGGGCATGGTGGCGCATGCCTGTAGTCCCAGCTACTTGGGAGGCTAAGGCAGGAGGATCGCTTGAGCCCAGGATTTGAGGTTGCTGTGAGCTAGGCTGACGCCATGGCACTCACTCTAGCCTGGGCAACAGAGTGAGACTCTGTCAAAAAAAAAAAAAAAAAAGACTTAGCATAGTGCTAGGCATGTATTAAAGATTATACAGATGTTAGCTACTAGCATTATTCTCCATAATTACAAGTTTCACCCAAAGGACCAACATGCAACGCATGTTTATATTTTCTCTTTTATTCCAATGATGGCGGTCATAACCCAGACTGATTTTAACTTGCTGGAGTCACGGGCCACAGTTGAAAGAATTGTTTCGGGGTTTATCTTAGAAGGTGTCCTGTGATCTGGCCCCATGAGTCCCTGCTGTCAAGACAGTGTCCAGCTCCTCAGACATTCGAGTCCCCACCAGACACGGCCTTGCCGTCCACAGCCTTAGTCCCTAACCCGAGACACCTGGGTTCTCCCACATCCTGGGGACACAGAAAGAACAAGTGCAAAGTTTTTCCCATGTGCCAGGTGGACCATGCTCCACCCCCACCCCCACCCCACACGTAGAACCTTCTTGTGGCTCCCCAGCACCCTGTAGATAAAATTAAATCACCCCACTATGGCTTACAAAGCCAGCAGGGAGCTGGCCCTGCCTGCGTCTAACCACAATCCCTCTTGCTTTTTGTTTTCTGGCTGCCTGGTCCTCTTTCAGTTCCCCTAAGACCGTGTGTTTCCTCCTGACTCAAGCCCCTTGCACCTGACATTCTCTCTGCCTCCCACACCAAGCCCAACCTGTACACACACCTCACCTTTCCATTGGTACCTCACCTTTCAATTTAAATGCTGCCTCCTACAGGAAGCCCTCCCTGACCACTGGCTGGGCCAGGGCCTACAGAGCCCTGTGACCAGGTCTGGCCTCATCTCTGTCCTAGTTCTCACTCACAGGAGGTCTGTTTTCCAGCCCCATTAAACCTGTTTCAGTTCCTCACAGGAGCAAGATTTCTTCTTTCCCCCCGATGGTGATGTAGCATGTGGTTTTCTCTGCCTGGAACATTCTCCCACCACCCCTTCACCTGACACCACCTCTGGGTTCCAGCTCACACATGTCTCCTCCTCCAGGAAGCCTGGCCTGATTGCCAAGGCTGGGTCCCCAAAGCTCTGTGCTTCCCCAGCTCATCCTCAATCTCACAGTAACCCCCCAAACTCCCGACCCCTCTGCCATGCCCCCCGAAATGCCCAACCGCTCTGCCATGCCCCCCATCCTGCCTGGTCCCTCTGCCTGTGCTCTCACTGTCACAGCCCTGACCATTTCTGGGCTGTCACTGTCCGATGCCGTCTGGGAACCCCGTGACCTTAGCCGAGGTCAACCACGATTAGCGTTATGTCTCCAGGCCTGCCTCGCCCAGGGCTGTACTTGAACGACTGTGACTGTTCCATGATTGAGTAACTGACCAATATGCTCCCCCTCCTCAGTGTTACCTGTTTCACATGTACGTGGGCGTCCGGGCTGGCGGAGGCATCGGGGACGAGATCGAGGACCCAGCAGGCGATGAATACGAGCTCTACCGGGTGGTCTTTGACATCACTTTCTTCTTCTTTGTCATCGTCATCCTCCTGGCCATCATCCAGGGTCAGTGCCGGCCAGGGGCCTGGGAGAGGGTGCTCAGTGCCCAGAGGCAGGCTAGCTCCAGGGCTGAGTGCAGGCCCGGGATCCAGTCTGCCGGGATTCGGATCCCAGCTCTGCCTCTCCATACTGTGAGACCTTGGGCGGGTCACCCCTATGGGCCTTAGTTTCCCCATCTGCAAAACGAGGGTGTTCATGGTACCAACCTGATAGGGTTGTGATGAGGACCAGGTCGATGGATGCTTGCTCAGTGCCTGGCTCAAGCAAGTGCTCAGTAAACGCCTGGCATTATTCTTCTTAGGAAGCAGGGTGAGATTAGGGAGATGGGGCTGGAAGGCAAAGCGCAGAGGTAGGCGTCCGGGGAGGGAGGAGTCTGAACTGCGCCGGGCACTGATCTCCGTCCTGCCACCCCAGGTCTGATCATCGACGCCTTCGGTGAGCTCAGAGACCAGCAAGAGCAAGTGAAGGAGGATATGGAGGTGGGTCCTGTCTGGGGGTACCCAGAGGGATTACGGGGCCCAGGAGGGCAAATGGGCCTTGACTTTGATGTCTCTCACCATTCACAGACCAAGTGTTTCATCTGCGGAATCGGAAGCGACTATTTTGATACGACGCCGCACGGATTTGAAACTCACACGCTAGAGGAGCACAATCTGGCCAATTACATGTGAGCGCGGGCCCGCCAGCCAATCAGGAGGGCGGGGGCGTGGCTGCCAACAACCAGGGGCGGGCACTGGACTTGGGCCCAGGGAGGTAGAGGGTGTGGCATCCATGTGGGTGGATCCCCAGCCAGCCAATCAGAAGGAAAGGGTGGTTCTGACCTGTCTCCTGCGCCCTCCCACTCTTAGGTTTTTCCTGATGTATTTGATCAACAAGGACGAGACGGAACACACGGGTCAGGTGAGGGGGCGTTGATGGGAGGGCAGTGGGCAGAGACATGGAGAGCTTTAACATAAGGCCAATCAGCAGGTGGCAGTAAAAAGCTGGTTTCAATACCAAGCGTTTGGAGATGTGACCAATCCCTATCCCCCAATCCTAGGAGTCTTATGTCTGGAAGATGTACCAAGAGAGATGTTGGGATTTCTTCCCGGCTGGCGATTGTTTCCGCAAGCAGTATGAGGACCAGCTTAGCTGAGACAGCCCCAGCCGGCCCTCCACCCCCACTCAAGTGCCTTATTCTCGTAAGCAAGCCCCTTAGATCCCCCAAGCCCCTCCCCCCAAGGCAGCTGGGGGAGAGGTGACCTTGTGCTGGAGAAATAAAGTCTGTGCTACATACCTGGCATCATTGTGTCGGGTTGCTGAAATTTTGGAGTTGGCATCCAGAAATTCTGCTTCCCCCCAGAAAAACGAGATGACAACAGAGGCTAAAGTCATGTTTATTGAGAGATGAGGCTATGTCGTGACCACTAGTGTGTCTGTTGAGGAGGGGGGTGTAGGGACTAGTTCCTAAAACCCGCCTAGGGACTCATTCCTGGATGTAGAGGTTGCTGGGGGCAGTAGGATCATCTGCTGGGCGCGTCTCCACCACTACAGGCCTGGGGAAGAAAAGGAGAGTTCAGTTCATTCATTCATTCATTTGCTTGTTCCTTCACCCATTCATTCATTCATTCACAAAGAAGTTAATAGAGACTGTGCCAGCCCAATGCTGGGCTGTAACGGTGAACAAGCATACTGGTTCCTGCCCTTGGGGTGCTCACAGCCTAGAGAGGGAGACCAGCATGAATCAGTGAATTACCTGAGTGCAAAGGATCATGGGGTGCGTGGCAGGGAAACCTAACCCAGGAGGTCAGCCCAGGCTCCCCCAAAGAAAGATGGTGGAACCTGAAGGACTCTCAGGAAGGTATTTGGTGAAAGGGCAGGAAACAGTGTTCCTGGCAGAGAGAACAGCCTGTACAAAAGCTTTGAGGTAAGAGAGAGGCTGGGCCTTGGCCAGAGATGTTATGGCCTTGAGGGTTGTGGCCAGGATTAAATATTTTTCTTGAGGCCATAGGAGGATTTTAAGCAGGGAGAGAGTAACACGATCAAATTTGGATTTTACAAAGACCCCTCTGGCATGCCAAAAAAGCACAGCGCTCCTTAAAGGGGCTCCCACTGGCTAAATCTGGGACTATTTGTGCCTCAAAATAAACAATGAAAGCAATATCCCATAGAATAAAATAGGAATCCTACACTATAAATATATACAACTATTCTGTGGCCATAATAATTAAAAATAAAAATAATTTTTTAAAAGGAATAAAATAGGCCGGGCGTGGTGGCTCACACCTGTAATCCTTAGCACTCTGGGAGGCTGAGGCGGGCGGATTGCTCAAGGTCAGGAGTTCAAAACCAGCCTGAGCAAGAGTGAGACCCCGTCTCTACTATAAAAAAAAGAAATTAATTGGACAACTAACATATATACTGAAAAAATTAGCCGGGCATGGTGGTGCACGCCTGTAGTCCCAGCTAGTCGGGAGGCTGAGGCAGCAGGATTGCTTGAGCCCAGGAGTTTGAGGTTGCTGTGAGCTAGGCTGACGCCACGGCACTCACTCTAGCCTGGGCAACAACAAGAAAAAAAAGGAATAAAATAGAAATCCATGAGACTATGCTGATATAAAGAAAGAAACAATGGTGAAGGGACAGCTTTTCCCTCTAGTGCAATGTCAACTAATATACATGCAGGGAATGATAGAATCAGAAAACTACCATTTGGTGACCACCCTAACAATGATAGATTCAGGCAAAAATCGTCAATAGATTCTACAACCAGTGGGTGAAAGTCTGATATCTTTACATAGTCTCAAGGACTCTCCCCCAAAGATACTTATTCTTACAAAAGAAAAAAAAGCAACTATATAGCACAGAAAAATGGCTGACTCCACCTTAATTAAATGATCAAAGTTAATATCACCAGCCATGGCACAGACTGACATCACGTGCCTCCTAATAGGATGTACTGAGAGGAACACAACATCCTATCTGTGGCATTCCTGCCCAAAATGCACGAACTAGGCACCTCTAACCCAACTGAGGGACATTCTAGAAGACAACTTTCCTGTACTCTTCAAAAATGTCAAGGTCATGAAAGACAAAATAAATCTGAAGAATTGTTCCAGGCTAAAGACAAAAGAAACATGACTCCTAAATGCAACCTGTGATCCTGGATTGGATCCTGAACCAGAAAAAAGAAATTATTTTTTTGTTATAAAGAGCAACTGGCGAAACCCGAATGGGAATATGAATTGGGAGGTTGGAACATCTCAGTGCTATTTTTGACAGTTGCATCATGGTTTGCAAGTACGTCCTTGTTTTTTTTTTCTTTTTGAGACAGTGTCTCACTCTGTTGCCCGAGCTAGAGTGCCGTGGCATCAGCCTAGCCCACAGCAACCTCAAACTCCTGGGCTCAGGCGATCCTCTGGCTTCGGCCTCCCAGACTGCTAGGATTACAGGCCTAAGCCACTGCACCCGGCCAAGGATACAAGAATTTTCTGTAATATATTTGCAACTCCTCTGAGTGTAAAAATAAAAAGTTAAAATAGTCATTTTTAATAGTTGAAATTTAAAATAAAATAGAAATATAAAATGAAAATGCCCCCTTGGCTGCACTATGGGGAACAGACTATGGGGTGGAGATGGAAGCCGGGATACCAGGTAAGAGACTCGGCTGGGGACGCCTCAGGATGCCCTCTCCACACCCCCCCCAGTCGCTCTGTCCTCTTCAAGACATACCTGGGAGAGCCAAGCAGACGGAAGGTGAGGGTGGGGTCTCTCAGTTCCTGCAGCAGCTGGGTGGGGGGAAGCGTGCGTGTGTTATCAGTGCCTAGAACGACCCTCTGCTCTCCCCCAAACACGACCCCTTAAATAGCGCAAGGAACTGACTGCAAATGTCTAGCCTCAGGTCCAGACACAATCACTTTTGCCAATACCACGCACCAAATGTGTGACTTCGGGGAAGCTATTTAACCTCTCTGTGCCTCTGATCACTAACTTGTGACATCATAGTATTATACCTAGCTGGCAGCTGATGGTGAAGATTAAAGGAAATCCTGAAGTGTAAGGGCCTTACAGTGTCTGGCAGTGTTCTAGAAGACAAGCACCATTTCACTGTCTGTTTCCCAAATGAGGACAGCGAGGCACAGGAAGGTTAAGCCACTTGATGAGATCACCAAGCTGGATTCTACCCCAGGCAGTGTAGTGTGGTCCGTGCTCTTACTCATCCATATAGCTCTAGAGGGATCTCCATTTTGCAGTCGGGGAACAACGGCTCCAAGAGAAGCCAAAGTTCCTTGCACAAGGTCACACAGTGGCCCCCGATGACACTGGGACTCAAGAGATTCAGGGGCAGAGAAGCGGATCTGTCTGAACTGAAACTGGAGGAAGCTTCCCCTGCAGGAATTCACGGCCTGACTCGGGACTTCTTCAGGCCCATCTGATGAAGGTGGAGACTGAGGCAGGAGGGACGGGCCATGGGGTTCTGGTGAAGGAGCTTACCTGGTCCGAGCCTGGAGCCCACACCTGCACTCCATGCTTCCAGAAAGCTTGAAGCCGACCCCCGACCATAGCTGGGGAGAAAGCAGCGCCCGTTACCCTCGAGGGCCACTTGCGCCTCCACTCCGACCATGGGCCTCCCGTCTGCCCCTGCGCATACCCACGGCCTCCACCGCTTCGGTCATAGGGATCTCGTGCGTGCGAAGCCCCCGGACTGGGGCTCCCTCCGGGGTGACCAACTTCAGAGAGCCTGGAAGGGGGTAGGGACAGAGTTTTAAGAACTGTGATCAGGGTTTAGAGGGTCACTAAGGGACCAGGCAACAAATTCAGTGTGAAGGGTAATAAGGGTGCAAGGCCAGGAGGGGCTTTAGGGGTTCTAGAGGCCCAAGGTCTGGGGGCGGAGACCCCACGCACCGGGATGGAGGATGCGGGGAGGGAGGAGGATTCTTACCGTCCATCAACACCATTACCATATCTTCCTCTACCTGCGTCACCTGCACTGGTCCCTTGTGCTCTGTTTGAGAGAAGGTGGAGTTTAAGGACCGACGTCGCCCAGTCCCCCTTTCGCCACACCTGCCCTAGGCCCGTCCCTCTGCTCCCAAAGAGGCTAAGCCCCGCCCACCCTCCAGGCCCCACCCTCTAGGCCCCACCCACTGTCAAGCTCACCAATTAAATGAAGCCGGCCGTCCTCTGTCCCGCCCCTTCCAGCCCTCCCTCCAAGCCCCGCCCAGGCCCAGCCTCCGAGCTAGCAGGCCCCGGCTCGCAGCGGCGCGCGGGGCGGGGCGGCGGCTCACCTGTGCTCATGTCGCCCAGCCAGCAGGACAGCGCGCCGAAGCGCACGGTGTGGAAGAGCACCGACTTCGCCGGCCGCCCGGGGCTCACGCCGATGCACACGGACGGCAGCTCGGAGCCCGGCCCGGTCAGCAGCGCGAACACCGGCAGGGGCGTGGGGAGCGGGAACAGCACCTGCTGCGGGCCGCGCGGGGCGGGGGCGCTCAGAGGCGGCTTCGGGCGGGGCCCGGGGCCTTGGGGCAGGCCGGGGACCTCCGAACCTGGGCCCTCAGCCTGTGCAGGTGGCACCTACACATTTCAGGCGGTAGGGCCCCAGAGGGCTTGGGGGGCCTCCTTAGACACAAGGTGTGGCCTCGGAGTGGGTGTGGCTTCCGCGTGGGGGCGTGCCACTTTGGCGACAGAAAGGGCCTCGAAGGCGGCAAAAACCTCCTTAGGGACTCAAAGGGACAGGCTCTAAGTTCTCCTTGGGGACCCGGGGGCGGGGCGTAGTGCCTGAGCAATTATTAAGCCCAGGTGTGAGGGGCGGAGCTTAAGGACCGGGAAGGCCTCATAAGGGCGAGCCCCCCGCTCCGCCACAGGTGGGCGGGGCCTCTGAGGCTTGGGGCGGGGCCTGGGCGGAGGCGGGGCCTCGCGGAGCTCTCGCCAGAAGCCCCAAGGCGGAAGGCCCTGGCCGCGGCATCCCCAGGGTCCCCAGCAGCCCCCCAGGCCCCGTACCCGGACGAGCAGGAACTTGTTCATGGGCTGGTACCACTGAAGCAGGACCACGGACGTCTCCAGTGCCCCGCACAGGAACGGGCCCCCAGAGCTCGCACCCTCCGCTGTGGGGTGAGCAAGGGTGGGTGAGGACTCATCCCCCCACGCCACGGCCCCTGGCTAGGCCCAGCCTCCTCTCCGCGCCCAGGGGGTGTCTCTCACCCACACAGCACGCCCTGCAGCCTTTGGTGTCCTGGATCTTGGTGGAGACCATGTTCTTCCTGCAGGAAAGGGAGGCGTGAAGGGGGGTGGACAGCAGCAGGGGGGAGAGGGGGCCGTTGGGGTCTGCCGTGCCACTGGGAGCCGGTACCTTGCCAGTAGCCGGTGGGGGCTGATGTGAGCGATGGGGTTTCCCGATCTGGTCTCTTTCCGTTCCAGCAGGCCCAGGATGCTATGAGAATACAGGTGGGGGGTCTTTCCTGCAGTGTGTGTATGTGAGGGGAAGCAGGCCGTTATAGGACCCCATCCCACCTTCCCTCCATCCTTTCCCTCCGCCCCATCCCTTTGTCTGAAACTCCCAAGCCTGCAAGTCTCAAGCACTTTTCATTCGTTCATTTCTCACTCCACGTACTTCAAAGGCCTTCAAAGGCCTGTTGTCGCCAAGCCTGCTGTGCTTGGCCCTGGCCTTGGCCTTGGCCTTGTTCCCTGCCCTCGTGGGTCTTGTAGCCACGTAAGAAACCATGGCCACATCCAGTTAGATGAAGTTACACATACTACAAAGTTTAAGAAGAAACACATCTATAAATTCTCCTCAAGTTTGTCATCACAGATGTGATATTTAACTAGCTCATGAATCCTATTCGGTTGGGTGTTTCCTCCAAAACTAGAAATTCTTTTACACAAAACATTTATAAAACAATGGTACAGATTTTTTAAATCTGTAACTCGCTCACTGTAAGTGCGAAATAAGTTCTGATTGTCGTCTGAACATGAAAACTATTTAAAGACTGATTGTAGACATTATCTCAAAACTGACTTGAGAGGTGGAGATTATTGTGAGCCCATCTGACAGAGGGGGAAACTGAGGCTCAGGGAGCAGAGCGAAAAGGTGGCTAGGGCTCTGGGATGAAGAACCTAAGTTTTTTTTTCAGCTGTGCCCATCTACTTCCCATCCCCCTGACCTTTGACCCCTTAACCTCTGACCTTCCCCTTCCCCCCACCCAAACCCAGACCTGAGAGAGACATCAGGACGTTGTTGATGGAGTACACCCAGGTAGTCCGGCTAGGAAAGAGCTGCAGAGACAGGGAAGGTGGCTCTGGTGACACCCCAGCCACCCCAGCTCCGGCCCCTGCCCTCGCCCCACCCCGGTGCTGTCCCTCACCATCTCCAGCGTGGCCTCCTGGTCATTCCGGTTCAGGATGAAGATGCCTTCCTCTGCCCCCAGGAGCAGGTGCTGGTCTGGGGGGACACCCACAAATCCTGGCCCTCAGTTCTGACCCCAACCTTAGACCTGCCCCCCAAAATAGCCCTCCTTCTCCCCAGTTCTGATCCCCAAATGCTAAGCCTGTCTTAGCACTGATCCTCAAACTCAGACACCCCCAAATATGACTTTTTCTTTCCAGTATGACACCCTGAAAACCGATGCTCTTTCTTTAATGTCGACTCCCTCACCGACCGTGTCTCCTTATCTTTGATCCCAGACTCTGTCCTTTGCTGCTGCATTCAGACGCTCAGAACTCTTGACCCCAAAATGCTGACGGCAGTCTCTACTGGTAACCTCCAGTGGACTTCTGTCCACGCCTTCTGTACTCCAAACTCTAATCTTTCTGTTACATTCTGACGTTCCCAGCCCCCCTAATTGTCCTAGTTTCACTCTCCAACTCATCTTCCCTCTACCCGTCTTTGATCCCCAAGTCCCAGCTGACCCACAGGCTCTGGCCTGTTTCAGCGTGGCCAGCCCCCCCATCAAGACCCTCCCCATCTCTGCCTTTGTGCCCCAGCCCCGCCAGGCTCCCCGTGGCCCTCCTGAATGCCCACCCTTGGTGGAGGGATGTGTCCAGGCGGCTGTGCTGTGGATCCGGAGGGGGCAGCCGTTGAACAGCTTTACGAGAAGGGCGCGTCCCTGGGCAGGCCGCGTGGGGCCAGGCAGCAGATCCAGCCAAAGGGAGCAACAGAACAGGAAAGTGCAGGGGTTAAAACTCTGCAGCAAGAGTGCTACGGTTCAAATCCTGCCTCTGCCTCCTCAAAGATGTATATTCGACCTTAGGTAAGCTACTTAGCCTCCTGTGCCTCAGTTTCCCAATCTGTGAAATGGGGGCTCATATCTATTTCTGTGATATCCACCTCCATCTGTGAAGGTTCACACCATTAAAGGCATGAGATCAGGCCGGGCGCGGTGGCTCACGCCTGTAATCCTAGCACTCTGGGAGGTCGAGGCAGGCGGATTGCTCGAGGTCAGGAGTTCAAAACCAGCCTGAGCAAGAGCGAGACCCCGTCTCTACTATAAAAAAATTAATTGGTCAACTAATAATATATATAGAAAAAATTAGCTGGGCATGGTGGCGCATGCCTGTAGTCCCAGCTACTCGGGAGGCTGAGGCAGGAGGATCGCTTCAGCCCAGGAGTTTGAGGTTGCTGTGGGCTAGGCTGATGCCACGGCACTCACTCTAGCCTGGGCAACAAAGTGAGACTCTGTCTCAAAAAAATAAATAAATAAAGACATGAGATCAGTGTTGGGCACAGAAAAGTGCTCAACAAATGTCACCATTATTATCAGTTCTCCTGCCCCCTCCCCACCCCCACCAGGCAACTCCAGCCCCTTCCAGAGGTGCGAATCCCCGGCATGGCTGGCCCTCACCTTCCTCTTCATCTTTTCCTTCTTGGGGGGCAGGAGCGGGGGCTGGTCAGACTCCCGGGAGGCTGGGTTCCAGAGGGAGGGTTCTGAGAGGGGTTGGGAGAAAATCAGCCCCCAAGGCTACCCCTCACCCCCCATCCCCCCTCCACCCCAGCCTGGCCCGTTACCTGAATGGGCGGAGAGGTGGGGGCTGCTGGTGGCTGGTGGCGGCTTGTGACGGGGTGTACGCGGTGGGGGCCCACTGGCACACCGGACCAGCACCCCTGGGCTCAGCTGCCCCTCATTCCTTGGCCCTCCCGGACCCTCGTCTGATGGGGACCGGAACTTGGGCTTTGGAATAAGGGAGGGAGCGTGGGGAGGCAGCCTTCTGCAAGCCCAGCCCTGCCCAGGCGGAACTGCCCCTCTGGTGGCTCTGACCCTCCCCACCACATCTTGCCACCACTCAGCCCTCCCCTCTGACACCCTGCCTGGGCCATCAACACGCTCTAGAAATTCATGGGCTGATGATGGGCGCAGCAGTGCCACGAGGCTAAATACTTTGAATCCCACCCCCAGGTTGAGGGATGCCACAGACCCCAATGCGCCCATCATCCCTGTCTCCCGGACGCCCAGCCCTAGAGAGCCCAGTGTCCAGCACCCAAGGCCCTGGCCCTCTGGAACCCAGGGGCCCTGACCCCAGCCTCCCAGCCCCGGCCCAGGGCCTTACTTTGGGGGGCAGTGGAGGAGGCGTGTCCTCAGCAGGGGTGGGGCTGAAACCAAAAGACGGGGTAAGCAGGCGGGGTCTGGGGAGCAGGACCTGGGGAAGGTGGGGCAGTTTGGGGCTGGAGATGGGTGCGATGGGTGGGTGGCCCTTGCACCCAACTCTGGGCTTGGGGCCGGGGGCCCTGGGCTTACGGCTGGGGTTGAGGTCTGGGTCTGGGGCTCAGGGTCTGGCCTTTGGGCAATTTCCAGGGGCCAAGGTTGAGCCTGAGGTTGTGCGAGAAGATGAGGGCTGGGGCCGGGGTTGGCTGGGGGCGACATCTGGGAGGAGCAGAGACTGGGATGTGGCCGAGGCCGGGAGGAGCATAGGTGGGGGCTCAAGTTGGGGTCAGGTCACGGGTCGTGTGGGAGGTTGGAAAGAAGGTGGGCTGGAGTTGGGATTGGGTGGGGACAGGGCTGGAGGTGCAGGGGTGGCGAGTGGGAGCAGGGGACAGGGCCTGGGAAGGAAGGCAGGCGGGGCTGCAGGAGGCTCCCGAGCAGAAGGGCGGTAGGGGTGTGGTTGGGGTCGGGCCTGCAGGAAGGTGGGGGCTGAGGCAGGCCCCCCTTACATGTCCACGTCGTCGTAGTCATCGTCCTCGGACTCCGACAGCTGCTGCCTGAAGAGTGACAGGCGTCAGCCTTGGCGGGTCCCCACATATCCCGCCCCCCCCCACCCCCCGCGGCCCCTGACCTGGGGCTGCTGCTCCTGCAGTCTCTGGGGGGCTGCAAGCGGGCCTGCGGGACGGGGCAAGGGTCGGCGGTGGCCGAGGGCGCGAGGAGGGGGTCTGGGGAGCGCGGAGGAGGGCGGCTCTCGGTGTCAGACAAGGGTCTGGTCTCGTGTCCCCTGAGCTTCCTGAACTCCATGTGCCGCCCTGGGTGGGGGAAGCCACAGTGAGCGGGGGCAGGGCAGTGACATGTAGCTGGGAATAGAAAGGGTAGAATTTGGGGGGTCTTGGAGCCAGGATCTCAGAGACTAGAACCGCCTTTCAGGGTTAGGGGGTCTCATTTGGGATCAGGGAGGCTGGGGCTCAAGGTCGTCAGGGAGCGTTTGCTCTCGGCACCCACTGGGTGTCAAGAGCACTGGTAGAGAGTTCTGAGGTCTCTTTTGCGATCAGGGTGGTGACAGGAGGTCTCCTGGGGTCTTTAGGCAGGTCAGAGAGGTGGGGTCTCTATGGTCACTTTGTAGGTCAGGTGGCGATGAAGGTCTCTGGTGGTCTGATGTCGGGGAAAGGGGGGTCTATGACAGGGTCAGACGTCCCCAAACGTCAGAGTTCTCTACTCACGACAGCAGTCTGCGTCCGGGACCCCCAGAGAGCTGGAGCGGTGGGTGGATCGGATCCGCCGGGGGATGGCAGGGGGCAGCTGGGCAGAGGGGCGGCCTCGTCAGGGATCACGACCCCAAGCCTGTGGGCCCACCGCGCGCCCTCCTCGCCCCGACAGGCCTCCTGCCAAGCTGCCCGGCCTCCTGCCCCGTGTCCTCTCAGGGCAGTGGCAGGAAGGGCCCCCTCCCCGCGGGGCAGCCTGAGCAAAAGCCGAGAGGGGCTGTGCTCTGGTCCCCCGGGCCCTCACCTCGGGCTCCTCGTCCTCGATCTCCCCGATGGGGGCGCCCTTCCCAGGGTTCCTCAGTTTGTCAAGAAGGTCCAGGATCAGGCCTCTGTTCAGCCCAGGCTGGGCGACCAGCTGATGCTGGGGAGGGGACAAGGTGTCCACACCCGGAGGGAAAGGGCCGGGGCGGGGCTGGGGGACTCGGCTAAGGAATTGTGGGGGGGGGGTGGCAGCCGAAGGAGCCGGCAGGGAGATCCGGGGAGCTCAGAGGCCTGGGGGATCCTGAGAAGTTTTAGGGACTGGAAGAATTTAGGGTCCTCAGAGGGGGCCTTGGAGCACCCCAGAGCTGTCTGGGAGAGGACACTCGGGGTCACGTCCTGGGCCCTTGGGGAAGCGTGAGTTCTAGCGACTCAGGGATCCAGGGAAGGTCTGGGGTACAATTTTGAGAGTCGGTGGGGGGTGGGGTCCTGGGAAATTCTGACACACCAGGGACTTTGAAAGGGCCACGGGGTTCGGTGGGACTGAATGTTCCAGGGAGTCGTGGAAGGCCCTGAGGAGTCCCGGGGTGAGAGTCTGGGGCCTTCTCAGGGAAAAGAGGTTTACACTGAGCATCTTGGTGGCACCGGGTCGTTTCTTGGGGCTCTTAGTGAGGGTGACTTTGACAAAGTTGTGGAAGGCAGCCGACCTTGGGAGGAAGAATCCGGGTTCTGGGGTGAGGGGACCAGAGGCCTTCCCACCGACCACCCCGCCCGCCCCACCCCCACTGTCACCCTGTCTCACCATTTGCCTTTTTCCTTCAGCCGGGGGGGCTGGTAGCCACTCTTGGTCATGAGGAAGAGAACCCTGGAATGGCAGGGACAGAATGTGGGGTTCAGACCCCCGAGGGGGCCAGACAAGCCACGTGGCTTGAGGGCTTCCCAGCAGCAAGGGGTGGGACAAGAGTGAGGGTCTTATAACGCTAGGACGCCTCTCCCCAGGGACACCGTTCATCACACTCTGGAGCAGGTGCAGGGGACCAAGGCGGGGACCCCGAGTCAGGGCTCCAGGTACGGAAGGCTCACACGAAGGCTGTCTGTGCGGGGGGAGCCCCTGGTGGTCTCCCGAGAGGGATCTGGACGTGGGAGGCTGACTGCAGGGGGGTCTTCAGGCTCAGGGCTGGGCAGGGTCCCTGGGCCTGAGGACCCGCCACGCCCGCCTACCTCAGAGGGTGCACATCAAAGAGCGGCGGCTGCAGCTCGGCTAGTTCGATGGCCGTGATGCCCAGGGACCAGATGTCACACAGCTCATTGTAGCCCCCCTTCAGGGCCACGGCTGCCACTTCTGGAGCCATCCTGGGGACAGAGACCCTCAGAGAGCCAGAGGTGGCACGGGGAAGGGCAGGAGAGGGACGGGGAGACGAGAATGGGGCAAAGGGAGATGAGACAGTTGGACAGAGAGAGACAGACACAGAGATAAAGTCATGGGGGCAGGGACAGCCTGGAGGATCCAGACAGAGAGAGACAAAGAGATGAACAGACAGGGAGGGAGAAGGACAGAAAACAAAGGGACAGAGACTGGGACAGAGGGAAAATACAGAAACAGAGCCCAAGATGAAAATCCACACACACACCCCGAGTGAACAGGCAGAAAGGGCACAGCGACGCAGGTGAAGGGACAACTCAAGAGAGCCAGAGAACGGGAGAAGCTTCAGGGGAGAAAGGCAAGGGCAGGGAACAAAGCCAGGAGGAGGTTCCCAGGGAGCCAGGGTGGGAAAAGCCACTGTCCCCCGGCCTGCCCCTAGCTGCCCGCCGGGCACCCCTCACCAGTAGGGTGTCCCGATGAAAGAGAGGCGTCTCGCCAGCGTCGCCCCAATCTGGGCTGAGATGCCAAAGTCAGCTGGAGGCAGACAGAGACATATAGTGACCTGGTGTCCCATGTCCCCCCAAGACCAGCAAACAGGCCTCCAATCCACCCCCATCCCAGCTTCACTTACCCAGTTTGACCTCCCCCGCGTCGTTGATGAGGATGTTGGCTCCCTGGAGACCAGAGGGAGGCACCAGCGATCAGAGGCTGCCGGGACCCCCTGCTACCCCCACCCCACTGCTCACACCACCCTGAGCCCCCCAGTGCCACTCCCATCGCCTGGACCCCACCCCTCCATGGCACCCCTCCGCCCCCAGGCCACCTTGATGTCTCTGTGTATCTTCTTCTGTGAGTGCAGGTAGGCCAGTCCCTGGGGGAAGGGCAGACAAGGGGGCTGTGAGTGTCTGGGGGCTGCAGGGGGGTCCTACCCCGCCGCCCCCAGGTCCCCCAGGCCTGTCCTCACCTGCAGCACTTCCCGGCACACATAGCCGATCTGGAGCTCGGACAGGGAGCCTGTCACTGCAAAGGTCACCCCGGCCAGGCCAGGCGTTGGGTGGAGCCAGGAAAGCTGGGTCGGGGAGTCCTGCCCCTCACCCACACCAGCCACGAGGGGAGGGGACCCAAGAAGGGACCAGTGGGAGGGGGAGGGGGCGGGGTGGCCGGCGACAGAGCGAGGAGGCCAGCGGAGGCAGAGTCATTCTGCAGATGTTCGCCGCGTGTGCCGTCTGGGACACAGCTGCACACAGAGACAGACATCCCGGCCCTCAGGGAGAGAACATTCCGGTAGAGCAGACTGAACGGAAGCAAGATAAATAAACGAAATACGTAGCCTCTGAGATGCTGACCAATAAGAAGAAGAGAAATAAAGCAGGAATGGAAATATGCGTGGGAAGGGTTGACATTTTGCACAAGGTGGTCAGCAAAGGCTACTCTAGGTGACAGTGGCTAAAGGTGTGAGGGTCCCGCTGTGAGGGGGAGCAGCACGTGCAGGCTGGGGAGCCTGATGGGTTTGAAGGGCAGTGGGGTGCGGGGAGGAAAGGGGTGGGGGAGGGATCTCCACAAGGGAGTGATGTGACTTTGCAAAATGGGGAATGGCAGAGAAAGGGACAAAGAGAAAGAGAAAGTGGGACAGATCCAAACTGAGACAAAGACGGTCAGAGACAGGAACGTGGGAAGACAGACACATTTAGAAAGGGAGAGACACGGAGGAGTGGGGTCGGCTCTGGCGGGACCGGCTGTGTGTTTCACTTCCTTCCTGTGTGCCTCAGTTTCCCCCCCGAGGGCTAAGAAGTCCTTCCTTTTCTCACTTTGAGGTCCAGGACAGGAGGGAGTCAGGGAGATGGCCAAAGACAGAGGTGGGCATCAGACGTGCAGAGAGGTGATCACACAGCCACACCCCTGCACTCCAGTTCTGCGAGAGAGTGAAAGGCAGGAGGGGAGAGAGAACCAGACATTCGTCCACTCATTCAACGAAAATGTGGGCACCTCTGAGCCAGAAAATGCAGAAATACTCGAACACACGAATGGGCCTTGGCAAGAAAATGCAGACACCAAGAAAAGCTGGGAGGGGGAGGAAGATCACTGCATGCAGAGACTGCAACTGGGCTGGCTGGGTCACCAGCTCGGTCACCAGCTTGGTCACCGTGGTATCTGCAGCATCAGCCAGGCCAGGCCCACAGGAGGGGCTCAGTGCGTGAAATACGGACCAGAAAGTCAGTTTCCGCGAGACACATGCACACAGAGACGGAAGGGGTGATTGGGGGTGGGGGGATCCCCCCGTCCTTCCTCTAACCTTGGTAGATGTCCTGGAGAGAACCAGCCCCACAGAATTCCATGCAGATCCAGAGCTTCTGCAACCTACAGTGGTTCGAGAGTAATAACAACAATAATAGCAGTAATACATTATTACAGGAGAGCCCTTCGTCCGCTGTCTTGTTCTAGTTCAATAAGATCTTTAACAGCTGTCATTGCTCTATCTCCCCTTGCCCACCAGGGTGAGATTGTTCCATTCCCATTTTACAGATGAGGAAGTTAAAGCTCAGAGAGGAAATGTGTTTTTAGGGGCAACTCAACTTGAATCTAGGTCTTTGGGCTCCAAACCCCGGGCACCCCTCTGTGGTCCCATGCTAAGCTAGGAGCAGAGCAGAGATCTCACGGGTTGCAGAGGTTTGGAGGGGACAGAGGGGCCCAGGGAGCCAGTTCTGGGAAGCTGAGGTCATTATTGGGGCCATTGGAATATTAATTTGGGGGTCAGGAAATTTAGGGGTTCATATCCAAGGAGCAGAGTGAAACTGGGGGACCCAAAGGGCAGAATGATGAGAGATTAGTTTTAGGGGAGTTAATTTCAGATTGGATTACTATGAAACGATCATTTTTGGGGACCCATGTCGGAAATGGGAGTTCTAGATTGGGGATAAGGTCAGGGGGTACTGTGGTCAGAAACGAGGGACTTTGTACCGGGGATCAGGTTAGGGGTGGCCCAGTTAAAAATGAAAGTCTAGGATTAGAGGTTAGGTTAGGGCGTCCTGGTCAGAAATGGAAGTTCAGAATTGGAGATCAAGTTAGGGGGTGTCCCTCTCAGAAATGGGGGTCTGGGTTAGGGCTGAGCTGAGTTCTAGGGCACAGGTCTAAAGCTCATCACCAGAGATAACTCCCATGGTAGGCCACGATGTTGGCGTGCCGGCAAGTTTTCAGCATGAGGATTTCCTTCTGAAGGGTGGAGACATCATCATCTGCGAGGAGGAGCAGGAGAGAAAAGGCCGCTTGCAGGGAGGGGGCCATGGGAAGGGGGGTCCCAGTGCCCAGGAGGCAGGGGTGGGGTGTGGGGAAGGATCTCCCGGCTGCCCTCCTCACCAGGCTCCATCTTCACCATCTTCAGTGCCACCAGGTCCCCGGACACCTTGTCTCGAGCCTTGTAAAGGGGAAGTTGGCAGTCAGGCAGGCTCCACTGGCCTTAGCATCTCTGTGCCAAGGCCAAGGACTGCGGCCCTCTTGCACCCTCTTCCCTTCTTGGGCCTGACTCCAAAGGTCACTGGTTTGACGGTGATGGGACTGAAGGGGCTTCCTCACCTTGAAGACTTCCCCATAGGTGCCGCCACCCAGCCGCTGCAGCAGGTCGTAATGGTCCCGGGGGTCTCTATTAAAAATATCGGGGTCCGCGAGGTCCATTCCTGGGGGGCAGGAGCTAGGCCTGCGCCCAGGGGCCAGCAGGGCCTCAGGGCTCAAGTGCTGGCACCTCCCTCCCTCCCCACAAGCCCTGCACCCGCCTTGCCTCCGCGGGCTGTGGCCTCCCCCCTCCCCACTCTCGCTTCCTGCCCCAGCTGCAGGGCTATGCACTGGCTCCACCCCCTGTCCCCAGGGTTCTGAAAGCCTATGCAAGGCAGCTTAGTTGGGACCCAGGGGACCACCCTCCACCCTCAATGCCCAGGACAGGATGTAAATGCGATGCAAAAGAACTTAATTGTAACCTTGGGGGCGCCCTAGCACCCCCTCCCCCGTTCTGGGCGGTGGCTAAAAACCGTAGTTGAACCCCTTGGTGTTTGAAGGTTTGGCCACAACCTAGAGGTGGCAGGTCTGCAGTGTACATGCCTGTTCACCTGGGGCACATACATGCACTTGTATTGCCTCCTGCACGGTGCGCGGGTATGTAGACATGCACATGCCTATATATGTGTGTACACATGTGGCTATACCCAGGGCATATACCTCCACATACAAGGTACATGTCTGTGCATTCACGCCTGCAGTGTACAGACTCTGTACACAAATAACTCATGGCACCACAAGGTGGGGCGCTCGCCCTGGGCCGCAAGACTGCAACCTAACGGTGACTGGGCGCGATCCGGCGGGGGTCCAGGAGCCCCTCACCCTAATCCCTGCCTGGCAGAGCACAGTGGTTTTGTGAGATCCTACTCCTGGATCTGGGATGGAGGGGAGGGACTAGGGTGCAGGTCTTGAAACTGGAGAGCTCAGGATGCTGCCTCAGGCCAGAGGGACCTCTGAGATCACCTCCCTAGGGACGTGGCCGTGGCCTTGGGCAGGGCTACTACCAGCATTCCCGCGGAGTGCCGTGGGCTTACGGCCGCGCGCAAGGCGACGTGCGCGCGCGCCGCCGGAGCCCCGGCGCCTTCCCGCGGAGTCCGCGCACGCGCGCGCCCCAGGCGCTGGAACTGGGCACCCGAGGCCCGGGAAATGCTTAGCCCCGCCTCCTCGCCACGAGTGGCGCATGCGCACTGGGGCGGACTAAGCTTTTTCTCACGCCGTCGCTCCCGCTCGCGCGGAGCGAATGCGCACGCTCCGGTTGAGCCCGCCGGGAAGAAGTCACGCGGCAGTCGGAAAGCGTGACGGCAGCTGCAAAAGCTTCCCCGCCCTTCCCCGCTCTTCCGGGGCTGGAGCGACAACAGTGACGCAGTTTCCGTCTCCACGGCCTCTTTCTTCTTCCGGTCCTCGAGGCCGCCCTGCCGGTGCGGTGTTCGCCTCCAGCCCTGGTCGTGGGCGGCCACGGCAGTCATGGCGATGTTTGAGCAGATGAGAGCGAACGTGGGCAAGTTGCTCAAGGGTATCGACAGGTCCGAGCCCGGGCGGAGGGCGCGCTCTGGCCGAGCGGGTGGAGGAGAGGATTTTCCGGAGACGGCAAGGGGTGGTCCGGGTCCTGGGCTTGCGCTGGCGCGGGGCTTCTCCGTCATCCTGGATGTCAGGAGGTCATCCCGGAGGGGGGTGTGTTTAAGGGAACAAACAGCTCTGCAGCAGCCCAGAGGCAAGAGAGAGAGCCTTGCTTACCACTCATGCTCTTTAATTGCTTTAAGAATTCCCTCTCTGCGCTTCAGCCTTCCCTCTCGGCCCCCGATTTCCTCCCTCTCTCTGCTCCTCAGTCTTTCGGTGCTTCTTAGTCTCCCCCTCCTCTGCTCCTCATGTGATTCATCAGCACACGTTCACTGAAGTCCACTCCGCAGTGCTGGGAACCAGGGGTGACTAAGGCAGCTGCAGGTCGTGTGGTCGTGGACTGAGCTCCCATTCCAGAGGGGAGACAAAACCGACAACAGACAGTGATAGCCAGGAGTGCTTAGCGCTGAGATGGCGAAGCTAGACAGTAACCTAGGTAGGAGAGCATGGGGCTGGATCAGGGTGGGGGCCTGAGGAGAGGAAGGGGTGGGTAGCAGAAATGTCCTGGAAGCCATGTGTACACACTGCAGTGACCTGGCTGAGCAAGTGGGGAGCCATCCTAGGTAAGACCCAAGGCTCTGATGGGGCTTAGAGCTTAGGTGAGAGGTCTAGGATGTGCACGGGTTTTATTAGAAATTATAGATCCAATTCACTACTTGGGTAGAGCAGGTGCCAGATTTAGAGGGGAAGGGAAGGAGGAACAGATTACAGTGGCCCCTTGCCCCATAAAATGATTGACCTCAGCACCTATCTCCTCTTTGCTCACCCATCTTGATTCTCCTCCAGGTACAATCCTGAGAATCTGGCCACCCTGGAGCGCTATGTGGAGACGCAGGCCAAAGAGAATGCCTATGATCTGGAAGCCAACCTGGCTGTCCTAAAGCTGTGAGTGTGCAGCCCCGTCCATACCCCCATGCCAGCAGCTGGCAGGGTGCCCCTGTCAACACAGGGTGGGGGCAGGGGTGGTGGGGGCTGGGGGTAGCCTGCAGGATGTGGCTTCTCTTGGTGTGCAAGACTAAGAAGCCAAGGAAGTTGGGGCAGGAAGAGGGATGGTTTTTTAAAAAATTAATTGCAAAATACATGTACAGCATAGTACATAAAATATATAGTTTAACAAACTGTTGTAAATGAACTCCCATGAGATTGCCTTCCATGGTGCAAAAGTGTTGCTAGTACCACAAGCCCTCTGCCCCACATGCTCTGTGCCAACCAACCCCAGTGATCACTGTCATGCTCTCGTGGCCTGGCATTATATGCTAGTTTACCACGCATGCATGTGTGTGGATCAGCTTAGTTTGGGTCTGCCTCCTTTGAACTTGACATGAATGTAATCATACAGCATGATGTCATCTTCCACTCGGCACTGGGCTTGTGAGATCCATCCATTTTTGTGTGGCTCCAGTTTGTTTGTTATTGCCATATAGTGTTCCATTGTGTGACTCTGTCCTAATGATCTGTTCCCCTCTTGATGGACATTTTGAGTTCTTCTCCCTTGGGTGCTTTCTTTTTTTTTTTTTTTTTTTTTTTTGAGACAGAGTCTCATTCTGTTGCCCAGGGCTAGAGTGCCATGGCATCAGACTAGCTCACAGCAACCTCCAACTCTTGGACTCAAGTGGTCCTCCTGCCTCAGCCTCCCAAGTAGCTGGGACTACAGGCATACACCACCATGCCCGGCTAATTTTCTTTCTATATATTTTTAGCTGTCCAAGTAATTTCTATTTTTACTAGAGATGGGGTCTCGCTCCTGACCTTGAGCGATCCTCCCGCCTTGGCCTCCCAGAGTGCTAGAATTACAGGCGTGAGCCACCGCACCTGGCCACTTGGGTGCTTTCTTGACACATGACCAGCTGTGTGATTTTTGCAGATTACGTAGCCTCAGTTTTCACGTCTGTAAAATGGAGATGACGCTTGTATCTGTGGAGTGGTTTAGATGTTGTTGGTGATTACCACCGCCCGATGAGTGCCCACCGTGTGCTAGCAACTGTGCCACAAGCTTTATACGTACTAACTCACTCAATTGCTATATTGTCCCTGTGAGGTGGTGAGGACTAACTGTCCCTGTTTGTAGAGCAGCAAAGTAGGCTCAAGGAGGTTATGGTTACGCAGCCAGAAAGTGTCATGGTTGGGATTGGAGTCCAGGCATGTCCCGTGCTCCAGGTTACAGTGGTGGGCAGCCGGCCTGGCACCTGCTGAGGGTTGGGGACCTGGAGCTGCCAGTGCTGCCATGTCTCCCGTTCCCCTTCTCAGGTACCAGTTCAACCCAGCCTTCTTTCAGACCACAGTCACCGCCCAGATCCTGCTGAAGGCCCTCACCAACCTGCCGCACACCGACTTCACGCTGTGCAAGTGCATGATCGACCAGGCGCACGTATCCTTCCAGCCTCGGCCGGGGGCAGTGCCAGGGGGCAGTGCCAGGGCGCGGGAGTCAGAGCAGACGAATCCGCAGGGCGATGGTCTGCGGGCCCAGCCACAGATACCGAGTGCCTGCTCTGGGCTTGGCCCAGTGCCAGGTGGGGCTGGGACACTGGTCTCACTGGGGGCCCACGAAGCTCCTAACAGTCCAGTGAGGAGACATCAGTGATAGCCCGGGCTGGTCAGGGCTGGGGTACAGGGGCCAGAGGAGGCACCTGAGCCTGCCTGGCGGTTAGGGGAGGCTTCCTGGAGGGGGGAAGATCTGAAAGATGAGGGGTAGTAAGGGTAATCCAAAGTAGAATGTGGCCAGACTCACGTGGCTCTGTGGGACCATGAAGACCTTCAAAAATGCAGGGTGCCATAGGCAGGCGTGTGCTTTAGAAAGGTTTCCCTGAGGGTCCCAGCTGACTAGAGAACCTCCAGGCAAGAGGCCGGAGGGGCTATGAAGACTGGATCCGTTTACACATATCCTCAGTGTCTGGCACAGAGCTGGCTTTTGGTGAAAACCGGTGACCCTGCTCTCTCCTGCCTTGACTTGCATTTTTGTGGCTGATCCATTGTTGGGCCAGGCGGGCTTCCGGCTTTCGTTTAATCACTTAACAAACCCGGAAGTCCCTCCTCACCTGTGCTTTACAAGGCAGGTGGCTGGGCCCTTGTGCCCACAGCTGTCACACTGGCTGTTCATTGGTGGCTGATCCGTGAAATGGCGGGTGGCTTATTGAGCTCGCTCTGTCAGGTGTGCCTGTGGGGGTTCCTGCCTTCTGAGAGATTGTCCACTTCACGTAGGTGTGTTCTGGTGGCTTTTAAAAAATATGTGGTTTACAGTTAAAAATACAAAAGATAAGGCTTCTTCCCTCCTTGTCCCTCTGCCACCCCACTCCCTTCCTAGGAGGCAATAGTTTGCAATTCTTGGGAACCTTTCCACAGATGCTTTCCATAGATGTGTATGGAGAAACGCAGGTGTGTGTGTTCACGTGCACCTGTTCCCCCGACCCAATGGTAGGGTATCACGTGAGTCGTTCAGTGTCTTGCTCTTTTCGTAATCTCAGGTGTCCCGTCCTCCATATTTGTTCTACGAGAGTAGACCTGGTCACAGTGTAGGAATGGGCGGCCGCTTATTTCCTTGTTCCCATCGTTTGACCCTTGGGTTTTTTCCTCACCTTTTGCCATTACAAAGAGTACCGCAGCGAACATCTTTTCTCCTGTGTACATCTGCAGGAGAAACAGGGTGCTCCGTTTTGTATGTCTTTGTTTGAGCTGAGCCTTTGGAAGACGGGTGCTAGAAGAAGGCGGGTGGGGAGAGGTGGTCTAGGACCCAGCCCCAGCCTCCTCAGTCTCCGGGGCTATTTTCCCTTAATGGCTCCCCCTCCCAGCAAGAAGAGCGGCCCATCCGACAGATCTTGTACCTCGGGGACCTGCTGGAGACCTGCCACTTCCAGGCTTTCTGGGTAACTTGCCTTGGTGTGGGGGCAGGGTGGGTGGCAAGGCCACGGGGAGCGGAATGCTAAAGGTAGCGATCACGCACATATGTCGTCTGCCTGCTGGCGATGGACCCTGCG